ATTTCATTTCTGGGTGCATATCTATAATACAGACATCGTACCAGACAACCAAAGGCATCTATGTGACGCTACCCCTGTGCCAGGATTTATTTTTAATCTGTTTATTTGTACGTGCAGCACAAACTGGACATACGTTTCACCTTAAAAGCTGCAAGGTTGTGGAGATAACGCTTCCTTAATCTAGTGCAGGCAGTAGATAAGAGGTGGTACGCATCATAAATTATCCTATTTAAATGATGAACAATGCAAATGTAACACTAACGGTGTGTTTGAGCTTATTAAAGCCGCTGCATTCCCACAGGTATCCATCAAAATAAGCAAACTACGGATTAATTAGAAATGTTTTGGGCAACACTTCCTGAGTTACGGTTCTTCAGTGGGATTAGAAAGACGACTTTTTTCCTCTACTATTTTTACTTATTCATTAAATCTAAAAAAATAATGCATAGATGAGAGCATTTAGAGGACAAACAAAAATCGGGTTTTGTAGTTGTTTCGGGCGTCCATGCAGTCATCAAATCAAGATGCTAAGCTAAAACGCTACGTGGACTCTTTCATACTTTGCACATCAGGAGCCAACAGCCGGCTACTCTGAAAGTCAGTCACCTTGATATGATAGAGGAAAAAAAAGCAGCCTGATGTGGCTTCTTTGTTGTCGGCGAGCCCCACCGTTGCATTAGGTGACACGTTCCTTTATTTCCACGTGCAATTATTACAACTGCGACCGGTTTTTAGAGTCACGTCTTCAGCAGGAATCAATGAGCCTCGGGCTGAGAGCCACGAGAGAGAGAGCGTAAGAGATGCACCGCTAATACATATTGGTTTTGTTCTTTTCATGCTTTTTGTGAGGCTCAAAATTTAGACTATTGCCATCTTTATCCTTTTAAGACTACATATGCTCTAATGGGATAATGAAAGATGCATTGTTTGTGCACAAAAACCGCTAACCCGTGTTGATGATGTAATTATAAACCTACAGCTGAAAATTATTTGGACCTATTCAACAGACTGAGGGGAAGGAAAAAAAACAAAAGTTTGGACAACACAGCTCTCCATTGCAGTGTCCTGGCTCAGATTCCAAACTAATTTACCGGGCACAGCCTGCATATTAATGTCGGGAGCTCACCCTGCAGTCTATCCACCGAGCCTCCGCTGAATCCGGGGCACCTTCGGGGCAGGGAGAGCCGGGCCTGATCTGTGTCAGCCACGACAACAATACAGCGAGCATTGATGAAAGGTCTCGTGGGAATTTATTACAAGCAGTGACAGGGGAATACGGTGCCAGAGAGACTAAATAGCCCACATTTGAATACAAGCCACAAATTATACACAGTTTCAGTAAATGAAGTGACTGTGTGCCTTTGCTCCAAGGATTTCCTTTCACCAGCGAGAAGCCGAACGCCACCGCCGCCGCTACTACTATGGTCCACAGCGAGAGAGGAAGTTGTTGATTTCCTGCTTTCATTGTGGTTAAGCGCCTAAAATGTTTATAGTGGTTTCAGAAAATGACTCATCAAATGATTCATGGAATATATATTGCTTTTTGACTCTGTGTGTGTGTGTGTCCACGAGGCAGCTCATTTATTTGTCTTTTTTTATTTTTTTTTTTAAATTAGAAAAGGAGGAAAACTACGTGTCCCAGCGTCTAAATAACTTCTGAGGCCCTACACATCAATCATGAGTGGTTAAGACATCATGCTGTCTAAATGCTGCTTTTTTTTTCCAGAACAAAAGATGGAGATTGCCATATGGTAAACATTATAAGGCTGTAATATTAAAGTGGTGCGACTTCAAAAGGCTTCGACAACCTCAATCATTTGCTGCTTTATTTAAAACCGGGGGAAGGCTCAAACGTGACTCGTTCCTTTTGAATGAAAAAGGCCGTTGCTGCTCGAGCAAAATGGAAGTGGACTTAAACACAGCCTTCCATGAGTATGCACAAGGAGGGGGAAAAAAAAAAAAAACGGCGTTGCACTAACTAAGGTGGTTGACAGGGCCAAAGTGCATTCGGTAGCTGGCAGTCATTTTATGGCTGCAGTGCTGAAGCAGATTTGCTTAGATGACGTCAGTGGCTTTGAGCCAGCTTTTCCTTTTTGGTGGCACTCTCCGCTGGCCTCAGTGGGCCCTGCTCAAACTGCTGAGCAGCAGCGCATACTCTAAAATTCCCTTTCTAGACCAGGGTTTACCTCAGGGCACACACAGTCTGGAAGCCTGCAGGAGCGTCCTCTTTCTACAGCCTGCTTTGACCACGGAGAACACTGATGTTTTGATGTGATTCAACCCCTGCCACACATCACGTCTAATTACACAATTAATGACTCTGTGTCGAGATTCAATCACAGATCACGGATCTCTCTCTCTTTTTCGAGCCCGGAATTTTCACAACAAAATATAACGCCGAGTATTGTCGTTTCAATTAAAAACGTGGAACGCCTAATGTGCTCACAATCCCACGAGGAATCAGCAGCAAATAGAAAACATAGCTCGCTGCACCTCTGGTTGGAGATTCCTGTTTGTACATATAGGGTTTGGATTACTGTCCAAAAACACTGTTAAAGCTTTCACCTGTTGAGCAGACAGACACAACAACTAATCGAATTAACAAACATGTATGTCATCTGGGGCCACACACTGATAAACTAGAAGTTGTACAGCCCTCTAATTATCCTGATTAGGTGTCAAACGTTTCTGACTATTTAAATTTTAAAACCATCACCAAGCAATCTAAAGCTTCTAAATAAAACTAGAACTCCAGCAGGACCTCAGAACTGACAGTCATAAAATTAAAAAGCTTTTTGTGAATGAGATGCTATCCTGGGAAGTTCAATACGTCGCTGCTTTGTAGCACAGAATAAACATCAGTGATTTATTATTAATCTAAACAGGCAGCATCTGAGGACAGGTTAAAGGTAGAGTTGTGTTTCGGATCTCCATCTTCCGCCGCCGCCTTGTCAGTCGAGGTAACTAACCGCGGTTACACCTCCAGTATATTCCCAAATATCTTAAGTAACAATGGCCGTCGATGTTGTGTCATTATTGTATACAAAGGATTCACAAAGGCGACCTGGACGCGTACACGCCAGGCTCACGAGACCCCATCAGCAGCAGCAGGAGGAGAAATGACATCCGCGCCGCGGCGACAACAAAAGCAAGAACTGATATTTGTCACGTTTTCCTCGTAAAAGTACAAAACGCGTGGAGACGTTTGACAAACGCTTGGCCAAAATGCAGCTCTCTGAAGGTCGCCGGAAGAAAAGGAGAGTCTCACTTTGCTCCAAGAAGTAACACAATCCACTCTGGGCTTGACAAAAGCGCATTATTCTGTCCACACTTCACAACAGATAGACTACACTCTCTGTAGTCCTACCCTCTGACCTCAAGAAGGCGGCGGAGAGGAACAAAACCTGAACAATAATGCGATACATCCACAACAGCACAAACCTTTTCTCTTTCAGATCCGGAGCTTCTTAAATTTCACCACCGTGTGTCATAACGCAATAAACTTCTATTTATATAGTTGTTGTTTTCCCTCATTTTAAATGATTTTAAAACACAGATTAATCTTTTTTAAAAATGCATGCACAGTGTCATGATGAATCTGTATATTTAAAGTCTACACCTTATGCTTCAAAGCAGACAAGTTTGAAAACTATTCGTCTGTGAGGTAAAAAGTCTCCTTCGATCAAACAAAGACAACATCCTATTCTTGCACAAATGTTATGCAGGCTCCCGTCCAACAGGTCCACTGGTTGCATAAGCTGAAAACAAAGCATCTATTTCTACCCCTGATTTTTTTTTTTTTTTCTTTTTTCTTTCCAAGCAAGCAAATTTACTCTGTGACATGTCTGGGGTGACGCCTGACTGCTGTTCTGTGTGTTTCCAGGAAATGATGATATTAATTCAACGTCTATTTATTTCTTTAATCTTCAATCATTGGAAAAAGCAGAGAACTTGTGCACTGGCTATATAACCAGCTAAAAGAGGTGCAGGTGCCCAAAACTTGTTGTGAATATAATAAAAAAAAAAATGGAATAAAACTTTATTGATCCCGTCGGTGTAAACATCAGGGAAACTGCTAATGTTAGTGGTGATGGGATTGATTTTTAAAGCTTTTTTTTTGTTTCCCACCCATTTGCTCGGTTGTGTCGCTACTCCTGCTAACATAACACAACTTTTATAAAAATTACATCATAAACCAGTGAAATATGTGACCAGACAGCCGGCACGGGAATGAATGAAAGAAAGATTTAGTTTGTAATTGTCACCAAAACTATAACTTTGGCTGAACTGAGTGACTGTTTAAAGCAGTCAAGTGGACTCAAAGCAAAAAAAAAGAAAAAGAAAAGGGGAGATGTTCCAGTGCCACAGGAGTTTACACCCACTTTTTAAGCTAACTTTACTGCAGCTAATGAAAGCTTTTGGCCTTTTATTCTCATCCCTCCCTTTGCATAATAACCATGTTATTTCTTCTTCTTCCTTCACACACAAAAAAAAACAAACAAACAGATGAAATCATTGCAAAGAGAGTTTGTGACACACAGCTGGCCTGCTAGTGCACTTTTAGCTGAGCAGGCATTTCCCAAAGTGGAGGAAGGAAAAAGAGGGACAACAATGAAGGACAAACACACAATAAAGTCCACAAAGCTGCTCTGAAATCAGCTCAGAGCGACGTGTTGGCCTGAGTGTGTGTGAATTAGCCTGAACGGGGATGTGTGGCTCCATCAGTTTAAGCTAATTCTGCTCCTCACTTTTAACGAAATAAGTCCAGAGAGCACAAAAGCTGGTTTGTTTTTGTCCTGTCGGTGTTTTTTGGGTTAGTTTAGAAAGGAAAGAGAGAGAAGAGCTTTAACGCGTCCCCTCAAAAACAATAAAAGGAGTTTGGGGGCTGAAAGCTTTTCTCCCTCCGGTTCAGTCGCTCCGTACAGTAACAACATGGAAGCAGCAGCTCCTCACACAAACAACAACAACAACAACAAGAGAAAAGAAAAACACGTACTTACACTAAACTTCGATGGTGATTTCCTTTCTCTTTTTGGGGGGGAAGGAGAAAAAAAAAAAAAAAACAACCGTCAAACGCGTTGAAGCAACAAGTCTCCCCACTTGTGTTTCCTTCGAGGTGGTCCGAAAATGCTCCGGTGAAAACCTCCAACAAGTCCCCGGCTGGCCAGCTACGGAGGACACGGAGAACAGCATTCATCTTGTCCACACACACTGAAAAAGTTATATTTACGTTTATATATTATTATTATTATTCCCCGAATCCCCGCTGCGACTTTCTGGGAATCTGACACGGAGGGGGGCATCTGAGGCGGTTTATTAGGGGCGTTTGATTTCCACACACACAAAAAAAAAATGTGAAAAATGTGAAAAATGTCAAAGATTTTTTTTTTTTGTTTTTTTTTTCCGCCGCCGCTGTGTCAAAGCCAGAAGGCGACAACAGAGTGCTCAAAGTGGCGGAGCACCGTGTTGCCACAGCGGCCATCTATCTCCGCCGAGCAGAGCAGCGAGCAAACGTTACTTCACGCCGAGTGGAGAGAAAAATCACATTTAAACACAGCACGCTGCACTATTTCCTCCTCCGCTAAAGACGAAACAAACTAAAGCCCCGGGAACAGAAGTCTTAGCGCCAGTTTGAATACCTGCAACTACCGATGAACTTACCTCGTTATTGATATCTCATGTGAAAGTGCGCCTTTCTTTTTTGTAATGTCATGTTACTGGGCATGGTGAACACTATGTCAAGTTATGCTGGTGTTTCTGGGCCGGCCGGGAAAGGTGGAGGTGAATCGCTTCGCGCACTGACAGAGATGCGAAGAATGCTCGGAATGAGACGAGGAATGAAATGAACGCAGCGAGCGAGTTTGCGCCGGGGCGGAGCGAGAGGTGGCGTCATCCCGAGCCCAGCAGCCAGCAGCCAGCCCGGGCAGCAGGCAGCAGCAGCAGGCGGCGGCGGCGGCGGAGGAGGAGGAGGAGGAGGAGGAGGAGGTGGTGGTGGTGGAGGAAGAGGAGGAGGAGGTGGAGGGGACAGGGAGGAGGGCGGTGAACATCCCGGGAGCTGGCGCCTTCAGGGACGCTCGGACTTTACAGCTCCACGTATAAGCAGAGCAGGAGAGAGAGACAGAGAGAGCCGGCTAAAGTCGCCCCCCGAGACCGTCAATAAAATGTCTGCCACAGCTGGATCCAGGATCCGGACCGGCGAGAAGCAAGAAGTGCTGAGCAATGTGTAATTACAGAAAATAATCAATCATGATTTTAATGAGGATTTTTGCATTTATTTTACATAAAAGAAAAAAAAAATAAAAATGTATGTGTGACTTTTATTTCAAGTCTTTTAATTAATAGCAGTGGTTCAGCTAATCTTCAAATAAAGTTATTACTGAAATCAGGAAGGAGGAAATCAAAATAACTGGTTTTGGAATGTAATATTTAATTTTTTCCAAAAAAAAAAATCAGAATCAGAATTTCTTTATTGTCATTGTCAGAGAACAACAAAAGTGCCATCCGTAAGTGCATAGTAAATAAATAATAAATAAAAAGCAAAAAAAAAAAACAACCAAAAAACATGTAAGACTATCAAGACAAAATATTCTTTAAAAAACATTCAATTAAACCGATTAAACACTAGAATGACTGATGTGCCCTGAGTTTAGTGCATTATTATATCATAACAGACTACAGCTTTGTTATTATGAAACTAGATGTGAAACCTTGAATAGACTGATCTAACCTTTTCAAGTGACAAACTTGTTATTTATGCATAAGAATAACTATATTCTCAAATTTTGCTTTTACTTTAACTGCAGCATGGATGTTAGATAACAAAGAATTTTTTTAAAAATTTGATTTATTTGATTATTGCTAATTAATTTGCCAGTAGGACAAAGGTTATATCTTCGCTTTATTGTCATTTCACTTAAATTCATTACATTAGAACAGTGTAAAAATCAACATCTGACAGAAACAAAGAATCTAAGCTAGCTAGCTAGCCAGCTAGTGCTACAGCTAGCTAATACAGCGTAGCATTATTAGCTTAGCCTAAACTCAGCTAGTTAGCCTTTTAGACAGACAAGGCTACAAGTTTTACTGCTGGTCATTTACTGTATTGCTTCTTACCGCTGGCTCTGGTCCTCAGGTCTTTCCACTTTTATGAGCATGTACACATATAAACTTTTTTTTATTGCTGGCATGAGCATCATAGACTGGTTACCTGTCCAGGTGAACCTGCCTTCGCCCTGAGTCAGCTGGNAAATCAGAATCAGAATTTCTTTATTGTCATTGTCTGAGAACAACGAAATTAAATTAAGTGTGATCGTAAATAAATAAATAAAAAATAAAGTTACAAAAACCAAAAAAAAACATGTAAGACTATCAAGACAAAATATTCATTTAAAAAATCAATAAAACCGATTAAACATTAGAATTACTGACGTGTCCTGAGTTCAGTGCATTATTATATCATAACAGACTACAGCTTTGTTATTATTAAACTAGATGTGAAATCTTGAAAAGACTTAATCTAACCTTATCAAGTTACAAACTTGTTATTTATGTATAAGAATAAACATATTTTCAAGTTTCTATGTTGCGTTTACTTTAGCTGCAGCATGGATGTTAGATAACAAAGTTTTGTTTTTTTTTAAATTTAATTTATTTCATTTTTGCTAGTTATTTTGCCAGTAGGACAAAGGTTATATCTTCACTTTATTGTCATTTCATTTAAATTCATTACATAAGAATAGTGTGAAAATCAACATCTGAAAGAAAAAAAGAACTTAATCTAGCTAGCTAGCTAGTGCTACAGCTAGCTAATACAGCTTAGCATTATTAGCTTAGCCTAAAGTCAGCTAGTTAGCATTTCAGACAGACAAGGCTACACGTTTTACTCCTGGTCATTTACTTGATTGCTTCTTGCCTCTGGCTCTGGTCCTCAGGTCTTTCCATTGAAATAGCACTGAGATAGTTTCACTGGTGGAAGGAAATCTGTATGTTGATGTAATGCTTATTTTTATGAGCATGTACACATATACACTTTTAATTTCTTACATGAGCATCATATGGATGGTTATCTATTGGTTTAAATAGCAATATCTTTTCTGTAATATGTGAAAGTGTGAGTGGATGAATTTTGGGGAAAGACCCCAGTGTGGTTGCTAGCATACCGAAATACGTGTTGTCACTTTTAGCATGATGCACAACATTAGCAAATCCTACATACATCACAAGTGACGTGTCTAATAATACGGGTCAACGGTCACATTCCTCAAAAACATTCTTTATTGCATGTGGTGAATTCACAAAACCAGCAGGGCCGGCCTTCGGACTTTGGTGGCCCTGAACCAGACTTTGTTTGTGGCCCTGAGTCAGCTGGATGTGGTGCTCCTCGCTGTCAATCACTAAACAGAACAGACACAAGACACGTGCAGGCCAGTCGTAGCATCTCTCTCTCTCCTCTGGGGGAGTAACTGAGGTTTGTCCAAGAAGTTGCCAGATTTGTTGATTTGTGCTATTTTGAAAAAAATGTCTGAAAGTAGTCTGAAAGGTCACTAAATCTTGTGATGCAGTCGCTACGCTGGCGATGACGATAAAGCAGTGTGTTCATGCACTAGTGTGCATGTCACCTAATAAATAATCACGTAGGCCAGCAGCTGATCACAGAACAGATTTATTTACTTTAGTAAAAGTAGCTGTAGTGCCAAGTTACACGCTAAAGTCCATCCATCATCTCTACACCTTAATCCTCACTAGGGTCATGGGGGGCTGGAGTCTATCCCAGCTGACTCAGGGTGAAGGCAGGTTCACCTGGACAGGTAACCAGTCTATCACAGGGCTACACTTAGAGACAGACAACCAAGCACACTCACATTCACACCTACGGACAATTTACAATCACCAATTAACCTCAGCATGTTTCTGGACTGTGGGAGGAAGCCGGAGAACCCGGAGAGAACCCACGCTGCACGGGGAGAACATGGAGACTCCACGCAGGAAGATCCCGGGTGTCCTCACCGGGACGCCAACCGGCGACCTTCGAGCTGCGAGGCAACAGTGCTAACCACTGATCCACCCAAGTAAAAGTCCCTTTTTTTTAAAAAACACACAAAAAAAAACGCTTTAGTAAGTGTACAAAATTATTGGTATCAAAAACATTTAAAGTGCCTTAAAGAATGTACTGTTTCAGAGTCTCTATTATTGTTAATCCCTTCAATGTTGCAGCAGGAGCTCATTTAATTACTTCATAGACTGCTGAGTAGTTTAATTTGCAATATATTATTAATATGAATCTGCAAAGTACCAAAATATAGTCAAAGTAGACAGCATGACATGGAAATACTTAAATACAAGTGAATCAGAATTGCACTTGCATGTAGAACTTGAGCAGATACAACGCCACTGACATTTAGTTCCCACACATTTCAACTCTTACATATTTCATTTAAAATACCAAGATAATTAAACATCACACATATGGCTGTTTTTGACCTTCAGTGGTTATCGAGGTGCTTTTTGGTCATAATGACAGAGAAAATAAGAATTAAAACACAATAAACCATAATTCTGCTATATAATAAATAATATTTTAATTACATGGTGGCTTTTTTTTCCTAATAAATAATCACATACCACTATATTTCACAAAATATAACAGAATGTGTTGTTTCCAAGTCAGTCGTCATTTTCCCTCAGGACACACTTTCTCTTCAATCACATCTTCAGTTATTTCCTTACAGCTCGGTTCATGGCTGCAGTGTTTCCTAAAAGCAGCAGCTGACTTCACAGATTCCAACAGGACAGAGTGGGGTTGGATGCAGGACTTCATGCAGACTGGTTTGGAGAAAGCGTGTGAAGTTATATAGAGTTAAAACACGATCTGGCCTTCAGCTTTTTAACACCACTGCTGCTCTGATATTAAAAGGCTGTAATTCTTTGAAATGTATTATTTTGTGTACAGCTAGAACATTTTAACATCTTGATATTGATTCAGTTCTTTGAGTAAAATATTTTTAGTTTGGCTTCATTCTTCACATATTTTATACACAACAGCTAATATCTTCATATAAATGTTTGCCACGAGGCACCAGTTCAGCTAAAACGCACGTGTTTCTACATTTTCAGCACCTTTTCCCAAACACATTTTAATAAAGGCAGAGTTGACCAGACACGGTTACAGACGGCCAAACGCAGCCGAAGACACGAGCACGGTCCTGTCTGAACAAGTCATCCATTAGGAGCCAGTGTTTTGACACCAATCCTTCAAAAGAAAGGGATCTATGAAGATGAACGACTGCCCCTCTGAGGACATCCATCAACACCTTTTAACATCTGTCTGTGCACGTTCAGCCGAGAGAGACACACGGGGAGGTGCACGCTTTGGAAAGGGCTTCACTCATTCATTCAGTGTCTATTTTTGCATTTTATTTCATAATCTGCTGCACTTGTTCAAAGCAGTT